AATTATAAAAAACAATAATATGCAAATTTTTTTTTTCAAATTTTAGTTTAACAATATTTAAGTAAAGAAAAATCATATTAAACATTAACTAATGTCAATATCATTCAATATTATATTATAAAGAACGTTAATTCGATTGATCTCAAATGACAAATGAACATGTTAGATGATGGTAAATGCTTTGTGGTACATATGTTAATTTGTTATAAAGTAGGGAAATGTAATTATCTAATATTTTGACTATAATTATTAAACGTAATGAATATGCAACACATCGTTAAGACACTCGATATGTATTTCGACTAAAATCAGTCAGTTATATAGGAATATCTCGTGCAAGTAATGTTGCAATAGAAAATAAATGACAATAAATAATCAAAATACAAGGATGAGTGCTGAAGAAGTACATTAGGAATATAATTGACTCGAATCATGATCATTTAAGTTAAGTGTTTCGTATATCATCAATATAATTGCGATATTTCGGTTATTGTTATTAAATATATATTTAACATTTTTCACAATAGAAAAAGAAAAAAAAGATGAAACCAAATTTAATTCAAATTTCATCTTTCTTAACAAGAAAACGAGAGGTATATTTGTATATAACAGCCTAAATTATCGTGTAACTTAATTTATTACAAAAGAATCATACCAATTTAAACGTTTGAATAACGCGCCATTTTAAGTTTCAAAATGATTTTTTAAAATTTATTTAATCATGAATGCAAAATGGCTCTCACACAAATACACATTATTTTTATTAATCGAGCAATTAGTCATGATTTTGATAAATTTTCATAATAAATAAACGGATAAAATAAAATCTAACACAATTTAACAACCGATAAATTACCGACCGTTCTACATGTTAGTACAAACAAATATCGAAACATCAATTACTTCGCAAAAAGGCCACATATTTCGCTCGAATAATTGAAATTAGCGAGACTACGAGTGCATCGGCTGGAAAAATGAGTTATCGACACATAGGGTAGAAAAATTGTCTGATTATAATCGAACTTTCATTATTGGCAAGAAACTTCTTCGAGCACTATTTTTTCTTCTTCTTCTTCTTCTTTGCGTTCTCTTTAATCCTTTCGTATACTCTCTTTTTCACACATATACATACATATACACACAGACACACACACACACACACACATAAATGTACACGTGGTATCAAAATATCCTTCGTTAAAATATTCATAAAAGAATCATCATAAAAAGATTATTCAATGATCTTCCACATAATTCTTTGTAATACGAAGGTTCGATTCTTTTTCTCGAAGTAAAATTGATCAATGGAAATCGAGACATTTGAAATGTTCTTCGATAAAACGTTTACTTCACGCGGTACGATTTGTCGATGATAATAAAATATTAGTCGTATCATTCAAATTATTTTCATGTCGATGAAAATGTTCCTCTTGCGTTTGCGGACTCGTAGGAGACGTCAAATTTTTCGATAGTACGTCGACAATATTTTGCGTAACTTTTTCGATAGCATCACCCATTATCCTTTGTGTATCCATCTTGTTTTCCATTTTCCCGCCAATTTCGTGAGCGTGATCAGTTTCATTCTCGTGCTCATCCTCATGTTCATGATGGGAGGAATGCGAATGCGAATGAGAATGCGAATGCGAGTGGGCGGCTGCAAAAAAAAAAGAAGAATTTTTAATTATATAATTATATAATAATTATCAACTGTAATAGGTATTGACGTTGTTTAATTTTTTTTTTTTCCTTAATTACTTTTCTACTGAATATTAATTATTTTGTTTTTATAAATCGTTAGATCATTGATTATTTTTTTTTTCTTTTTTTTTTTTATGCTAATTCAGATATTTAAATTAAGTTTGTACGAGGTTTTGTTACGTTTAATATTATTTTGTTATTAATTGCAAATTAATAGCATAAAATACAAATAAATGCACATAATATTTTTTGCTTCGTTAATTTTATTATTTTATTATTAATTATTAATTAAAATAATATTTAGCGTGATGTATTGGAAATATATTAGTTTTTCGTAAAATTTATTGCAAGATTCATTATCATAATTATTCAGGTCATGTAATCAATTAAACGCGCTTTGGTCTTTGTAAGTTACGTCGTAAACGATTGTGACAGTGTAATTAGAATTAATGATATCGAATAAATGCGTGCAAGTAATATAAGACAGTAGTAGTAGTAGTAGTTATTCGCCATTTTGAATGAACATTTTACGATAGATTATCAACTCAGTTTTTCTCATTAGTAAAATTAAAATATTTTTAATGATCAGTTTGTAATTAAGATAAAACATTAAAAACAATATTACTTATATTCTTTTATAATATAAACTGACGTCATGTGTAAATAGTCATATCTAATCGAATAATATTCTACATTATCAACCTCAAGAATTTCATATTTCAACATTTAAAGTAGGTTTCGAGATATATATTTAAGTTTCATCTCAAAGAAATTTCTTTTTTTATCGTACAGTGACTTCGAAAAATATTCAAATAATTTAATTTCAAACAAATTATATTTTCTTTTGTCAAAAGAAAAAATATTGAAAATAACAAATAAAAAGGTCATCATGTAATAAAAAATTGTAATGATAACATTTCTATATCTAAGCATTTTTAATAACAAATTTTTACACGAAAACATAATTGAGTTAATTGTAAATAACATATAAAAGCTTTCATTTATAAAACAAGTCAATGTTGGAAAAGTTTAATCCCTGTATCTTGAATTAAAAAAAAAAAGCTTGCCAAATTTGGTCATTGTCTTATCTCTCTCTTTTTCTTCATCATCACTAATCAATCTTAAAGATGGAAGATCATTACTATAAAAGATTCTAGGTGGTTGAGAAAGCGGTTGAAAGTCGGTCGAATCGTCCATCGACCTGCGACGTGGGTCATTGTCACAAATAGAGAAAGCTATGAAAATAAGTTAGATCTTTGCGAAAGAGAAAGAAAGAAAGAAAGAAAGAAAAATGAGCAGTTTATGTTAGTTCTAATAAAACGTATGAACATAATAAAAATCGTCATTTGTCACCCACGATCATTGCAAACGATATACGTTCCTGGAAATGTCTCATTTTCTTACGAGAACCATTCATTATTTAGTCTCTCAGGTATACATATTTATCTTTCAACTATTTTTCATGTAACTTTAAGTATTATATTACATTGTACATTTCATAAGATTATCTATTTTCTCTATTTCAAAAGTTTTATAACAAATTTATTAGACTTGCAATTAGATTTGTTTCATCATTCACATAAAAGAGACTTCTGTACGCGGTAATATTGGAAGAAATTATATCAAATTATATAATTATGTGCTTTAAAAATGAATTTAGTTCTTTTTTTATTGAAATTATTATTGTTCATTATCAAAAGTATTTTTTATTGCAGATGGAGATATTTTTAAATGGAGTGTTTTATTAATATTCCTAAAAATAATATCGCCTAAATTTCAACATCGAAATATGTATGTTCCTTTCGAATTTAATTCATCTTTTATTTTCATTTTTATCATATTTTTATATCATTTTAATGTCTACTACGATATACGATTTGCTTAATCAAAAACGGGATTTCGTCAAAGGTAAAAATAATTTAATAAAATTAAAATTATAATAGTACGTGAGAAAGAGAGAAAGAGAGAGAGAGAGACTGTACTTGTTAACAGATTACTGAATCGGAAGCATACATTTCTTACAGAACTTCATGTGCGACTCGAATTGCTATTACGTAGTGCTGTAAATTAGTTACGGCCTTTTCTTTTGTGTTTGTCTATTTTAATGTCGTTAAGAAGTAAGATTGGTAAAAACTGAGTTGAAATTTTCTGCTACGCTCAATGATCATCAATTTTTTGTTGCATTAAATGATGTATACAAATATTTATCTTATAGACAAAAAACAAATGTATAAAATAATCTTATTAAGTTGTGTATCTAGTGAAAAAAAATTATTACACTTTAAAACAAAAACATGAAATGAAATTTAAATTTAAAGTTTATATGAAAATAGTTTTACAAAAATCGATCGTTTTGACTGATTATTGGTTAATTTAGTCTTAATTATATCTACTTGAGGTATTTAAAAAATTCGCAGTTTTTATTTTTTAACATATAAATTTCATTTTTAAAGTAAAAAAATAAGCTGCTAATTTTTTTAGATAAATCATATATTTAATTAACTAAGGATTATGTCATTTCAGATTTGAGCTATGGAAATTTTCATAGAAATGTATTAGATTATATATCATATATACATTAGGGATCTACGTACATATTAGTCTTTAAGTTGGTTGGACAAAAACGTGACCGTTATCAAACTTGTTAACTTTAATTGTAATTGGGCTATATATATATATATATACATATAATATATACATATATATAGTAAGTATGTATATATATGTATATACATTTACGAAGAAGATGACGTTCTAAAATAAAAGGAAAACGAAAGGAAGATTATTCCAATCGAATGAAATTGATTATTGACAGATAAATAAATCATTATCGAGTATAATCGATAAAGTCATCGAATTAGAATTTATTAGATTAACAATAAATAAATATCATATATTATATTAAAATAATTGTAACTTATAATGAGATTTAGAAAAAGAAAAGAACTTTTGTTGGCATATATATTTTCTAAAATAAATCACGTTTGTTTGATGTGTGACCGAATTCGGCTTGAAATTTCTTCGAGCGTTTAAACTTAACTTGAACAAATCAATAGAGAGGCGAGTTCCTCTACAAGTTAAACCGACACGTCGACTTTAAATGTATCAAGGACGTACCTGCGATAGGTTTGTACCGAGTTGGATCTGTCGAAAAAGGAAACGTGCCAAATACTTTATCGTCAGAGAATTGAGACATATGTTAAACGTTTTTGAGTTTGATTTCAAGTTAATTACTTTTCTGATGATTAATGTGTGAATCAAATGGTCATCAGTTTAGGATTAGTAATTCATAATGATGTTGAAAAGATATAACAGGAATAATAATTTTTCTTATTGGATTGGGGTATATCAATAATTGCGATTTTGAAGTATCGAATTTGAACTTAAATAATAATTGAAAGATCTTTAGAATTCTCTTCATTTGCAAAATATCAGATTTTTATGACGACATTTTGAAAGTCAACGTTCGTTAATTGTCTCTCAATCAAATATTTAAATTTCCAGTAGTTTCTGATTTTTCTTTTTATATTCTAATGATATAACAAGAAAATCCTGTTTCAAATGTAAAATAATCCAATTCGTAATTATTTTTTCATCAATCTAATACCTGTTCCATTAGTTTGATTTTGTTAAAGGAAAGATTCACGCAACTGATAAACTGATAAAACGATTTTCCCTGAAACACGGAAGAAATAAATTCAAGGTCTTTTCAGAGATAGACAATCTTCCATAAATTATATAATAAAGAGAAAAAGAGACAGAGAGAAGAGTTTCATCGTAACAGACGAAAGGTCTTCCGGGAAACACTCACTGGCAATCTGTAGACCCAGCATCAGCATAAAACCAACAATAATCGCGAGTAATTGTAGAAGACCACTCTTTTCGTTTGCTTTTTCTCGTGCTAATACTTCGAAGAATACAACATAGAGTAAAGTTCCAGCTGCCATTCCTTGAAGTATAGTTGGGGTAGGTCCTAAAGTATCGCTGTTGTTTTTGAAATGACTAAGAGCTAGTCCAACTGCGATACCGATGGGTGTTACCATCGAGAAAACTGTTAAGTATCCCAAAGTTGTTCTGGTTGATGCACTGGCAACATAAAGTTCCATACCAACGCAAAAGGATATAACCAATTTATGAGTGGCAATAGCTGCAGCAAGATAAACGACAGAACTCAAGGAAGGTTCCAATCCTACGGCAAGTCCTTCGAATATAGCATGAAAGGATAAAGCCAGAACGGTTAATAAACCTTGGACGGATGACTTTTTCGTTAGGATCGAGTGTTTATGTTCATGATTTTCTTGGGATGTATAAGCAGTAGCAACATCAACAGCTAATTCTGGATCTGATTGGTGTCTATCATTGTCTCTTTGATCACCGATCTGTGTTGATAATCCTCCTGTCGATGATGAAAGAACGAATATGGCTGGCAATACTTTATCATTCTTAATACCGCACATATCCTCCAATTGATGTCTCGAACGTCGATCCAATTTTTCACCATCCTCGCAGTCATCTTTCCAAGTAGATCTAGTCGTCGTTGATACAGTCGTAGTTGAACCACTTGCTGCAGACGTTGTTACACCAGTTTGATTGTTACATCGACGTACCGATACTGTTCTATAAAGTAGAGCTTCGGAGGACTCAGGTTTCCCAGTTAATGCCGCGTGTACGGCTTCCTCGACCAAATATACCAGGAAGAATCCACCGCAGAAAAGTAATTCCGATAAACTTAGTGTTCCTAATATTGGTAGTTGACCATTAGATTGATGTGTCTCGACACTTAGTCGTACCTCCGGTGCTAGATGTAGGAATGTCGTGAAAAGAAGAACTCCACCTCCGAAGCAGAGTAACAGCGAAGTCAACAGTCCCTGAAGAGTATTTGCTTAATCTCATTTCCTTGTCCTCTCTCTCTTCCTTTCTCTCTCTTTTTACATAAATATAAATGTGCATGCAATAAACAAATATCTGAAGAATCTCTGAAGAAAATTTACTGATATTAATAAATCAAATTATTAATCTCTATTATTCCTAATTTCGAGTTTGAATTTAAAGATTAAAGTAAACAACTCTGTTTTCATATTTCAAATTTTACAAACATTTAATTCAAAGTTTTAAAAGTCGAATTATGTTTATTCATTAGTATTCCTCTGAGGTTCTTCAAAGAACAACATGAAGAGAAAGAAAGAGAAGTGAGGGGGAGGAGAGTTAGAAAAGCGTACTTGCGAATTCGCTGCGTTATCGACGAACGAGGAGGATGTTTGCGATGCCGAGGTTGACGTCGATGTTGAATTACTCGAATTAATGGAGATGCCGTGGCATCGTTTCTGACGATTCAATTTCGTCCTGCATCGTCCAACTATCAGAGGTAACATACCCAATATAAGTGATCCAAAACCGAGACCAATCATGGCACCAATTTTTGCCATCAAAAGAATCGAAGACGTCGTACTCGTATTTTCTTCTTCCATCTTTATTTATATATTTTTATTCTCTTTCATATGCGATAATAAATAGAACTCGAGGAACTGTGTTTTTTTTCAGTACGTCTAATATCTAATCTCTTGGTTGTTATGTTCTTTATATCAACATTTTGTTCACTTCTCATCCTATAATATATTAATTCATGAAAATATTCATATCTAGTACGTATAGTTGACGTTAAATTCGCTTAAATTCTTATTAAAACTTTGGTACCAAGTTGCAGCACACTTCCAAAATAACACCTCTTGTTTCCTTCTTTTTCGGATATTATTGCACAGATGGTTAGTATATACTTACTTATCGTCTCGAACTGTATACGATCGTAAATACAATCGAGAGTATTCCGCGAACTACACCGGCTACCCACTTTCACCCAAAGCACTGGTGCTAAACCACCGACGTTGATATTAACTGGACCGTAATAGTAGTAGTAATAGTACTAATAGTAATAGTGGTACACAATGATGATTATTGGTCCAATGTGTCTCCTTCTTTCCAATCGATATTAACATAAATAATTCTTTATTTATTGTTCTCACCACCATCGCCAATTATTTTCTTTTGTTTATATCGGACAATGTTTCAAATTTAAGTTCAGTGATAACCATATGTGATATACAAATACATAAACATGAGAACTTTTACATTAGCTGAAGGAATAACTTTTTCGTTCTTCTTCTTATTATTATTATTAATATTATTATTGTTTAATTAATTGAAACGAATGACCACTGGATTTATTGGAGGGAATACGAAGAAAAAAATGTAAGAAATGAAAGAAAATGAATAAATAAAGAAAGATATGTGTAATCGTTCCACGCGGCACGGCGTCGAACCGGACACTCAGGGTCTGGATAGGGACGTCGTTGGTCATTCGTATCCCCTCGCATCTTACATAGTCTCTCCGAACCGTTTCCTGCTCCCCCTCCCTTTCTCCTCTCCCCGCTCTTTACTCTAAAACCCCCACCAGGTTCTTCTCACTCTTTCCGCCACCTTCTCACCATCTCTCTTTCTCATTCTCTCCCGAGTTCCCGATGTATTTGTATTACTAATGTAAGTACATACCACTATGTAAGTATGTAAAAGTATATATTTGCAATATATACACACACGTATACCATCTCTTCTCTTTTTTTCTTAATTATTCATATACAGGTAGTATCAATAATTATTTGTCTGAATTATTTTATTTACCAATGTACCGTTTTAGTATCAAATGTTTAATGCGTTATATAAATTTATTTTTATATGTAATAATTATTAACTCAAGTTGTATATAATCAAAATTAATCGTTCGGGTACACGTACTTGTATGAAATATCTTGAAACTATTCCTAGTTGTGTTTCTTAAATGTTTTATTTTATTTTATATACAGATATACTTGTTATACATACGTAAGCAATTAATTAGAACAACTTACTATTGTAGATAAATTTGCTAAAAATTGCTAAATGTTTTGCTAGTCAAAGTAACCATTTTTTTGTGAATATATATTTTGCATTATTTTAGTATTCGTAAAAGTAATTTTTGCAATTATTTTGTTTGCAAATTGTTTTAATTATTTTTTAAAAGATTCCACAAGTTCTTTTTGTAATTTTGAATAGTACATTAAATGTGTAATGCAAATATGGTAAGTGTACCCAAACTTTTGGTTTGTAGTTTATATAATTGTTTAGTAGTAAAATTTAAAAAAATATGTCGTTCGATTAATAAATTCATTTGTTATCAAAATTCTATACTGTGATCATTCTGTACATTTTCGTTCAACGTCTTCAATCAATAATGTAAAATATCGATTATTTCAGAATGTTGAATTTAGCGACTTTGTATAGTTCATGTTTACTATCATTCTATCTTTTTCTTACACGTACATTCATTGATATCAATGTAAAAAGTATGTATGTGTTTCGCGTGGAATTTGTTTTGTTTTGATATTTCAAACGTTTGAATTTGAAAGGCAGCATTCGTTTTGTTTCTATAAGATTAACCGGAATTCATTAAGATTTTGTATTTTTGTGTTCGAATTTAAAAAATTTGTAGTTGCATAAACGAAGACGAAAGTTCCATTTTCTTTCTCTCTTATTTTTGCAGTATTAATGCTACGATTATTGATATTCGTGATACGAAGTTGATGTTCTATTGTTTTCTACGCATGACACGTTATCACATAGTGTTTACTAGACATACAAACCGATGAATAATCTCTTTCGTGTTGTGTTAGAGTTTCCATTTATACTTTGAATCTCATATCTTCTTTTTATTACTTCGAAAATATCTCTTAGATCATTAAATCTATAGGAATTGTTTAAACTCTCATATTTTTGCTTCTTTTTAGTAATAAAAGTAAAATAATTTCAAATAAATCAAATTATATTTTATAATA